ACGTGCAAAGCTGTTTTTGGGTTTTCAAAAAGTTTTGCTCTTTTTTGGTAGTTTCAAAACGTTTTGGTCTTTTTTGTGGATTTTCAAAAACGTTTAGTAAGAGCAGAAAATTTCTAAGGCACGTTCTACGTAAAATAGTAAGTGCTGACAAAGTCTGAAAAACGAACTGGAGGCTTGAGTTTCCTACCGCGTCGATTGAGAGTAGAGCGGGTAGGAGTGCTGTCGGTTGTGTTTGTCGGTTCTACTGGAGCGGGCTGACTCGTCTGCGTTTGCGGTGCCGGCTGTGATGGCACGGGCTGTGAAGGTGCTTGTTGCACCGAAGAGTCAGACTTGTCGAGGAATGCTGGCTTGAGTCGATCGACGTTGATCGTCTCAGTCTTACCATTGTAGTCAATGGTAAACGTCTTGTCGCTTCTGCGTACGACACGGTACGGACCAGAATAAGGGGGTTGAAGTGGTCGACGTACGCTGTCAGTGCGAACGAACACGTGCGTGCAAGTGGTTAAGCGTTCGTCCACGTTTGTACGCAAGCTCTGTGCTCTGGGTTGCACAGGCTGAAGCTGTCGCATGTGATGAGATAGACGAGCTGCGTAGTCGCCATAGTCGAAAGTTGTTGGCGCTTTTGGTGAGACGAGTTCACCAGGTAAGCGTTGTGTGCATCCAAAGACTAGCGACGATGGAGTGGCGTGCAAATCCGCTTTAATCGTGTTTCTTATGCCTAAGAGAACGAGCGGAAGTGCTTCGTGCCAGGATGTGCTAGATTGGGCACAGAGTGAGGCTTTGAGTTGCCGGTGGAACCTTTCTACCATCCCATTAGCTGCGGGATGGTATGCGGTGGTTCGATTATGTTGGCAACCAAGAACGTCGAGCAGTTTGCTGAAGGATCCGTCGAAGTGTGATCCTCTGTCGGTGATGACTACGCTTGGGCAACCGAACTGAGCTACCCAGCGTTCTAAGAAAGCTTGCGCAACTGTCTCAGATGAGCAGTTGACTAACGGAATCGCCTCTGGCCAACGAGTGAATCGGTCGACACAGGTGAGTAGGTACACGTAGCCTTTGCATGGAGGCAAAGGTCCGACCAGGTCGACATGGACGTGTGCAAAACGAGCGTCAGGAGCGGGAAAGACGCCAAGTGGGCTTTTGGTGTGTCTGTAGACCTTGGCGCGCTGACACTCTAAGCATGCGCGTGCCCAAAGGCGGACATCGCGATTGACGTTGGGCCATATGAAGCGTTCCGTTACGAGCTTCTGCGAAGCACGTATGCCGGGATGAGACAGGTTGTGTAAAGCATTGAAAACTAGTCGACGCATTGAGGTAGGAACTACAGGTCGGGGAGAAGTTTGTGAGACGTCACAAAGAATGGTCCCCTCAGATGAAGCTAGTGGGACTTCACGTAGTTTCAACGAGGTGTGGCGTCGTAGCTTGTCGATGTCGGGATCAGCTTGTTGGGCAGCAGCCATAGCGGCTAGATCAATGTTGGTGCCAGGCGATAAGCTGATCTGTTGAATGCGTGAAAGCGCATCAGCGACGGGATTGAGAGCACCTGAGACATGACGTACGTCTGTCGTAAACTGAGAAACGTAGTCTAGGTGTCTAGTTTCCCGCGGCGAGTACTTGTCTGTTGCGCCATTGATTGCGTAGATCAATGGCTTGTGGTCAGTGAAGACGGTGAAATGTCGACCTTCGAGGTAGTGACGGAAATGTCGGATACCTAGGTAGATAGCTAACAGTTCCCTACCGAAGGTGCTGTAACGCGATTCGGCAGGTTGTAAACGTTTCGAGAAGAAACCTAGAGGTATCCATCGATGGTCGATGAGTTGCTGAAGAACTGCACCGACGGCAGTGTCTGATGCGTCAGTTGTCAGAGAGAGTGATGCAGACGTGTCTAGATGGGCGAGAAGCGCTATGTTGGAGATAGCGTCTTTGAGCTTCTCGAAAGACAATTTAGCGTCGTCTGGAAAATGAAAAGACCGTTGTTTACCGCGGAGCAAGTCAGTCATTGGTTGAACAATGCTCGCGCAGTTAGGTATAAAACGTCTATAATAGTTAACCAGGCCAAGAAATCGGCGTAACTGCTTGAAGGAACTGGGAGCAGGATAGTCCTTCAGTGCCTGGATTTTGTCTGGCAGAGCTTCAATACCAGAGGCGGATATGCGGTGGCCAAGAAAGTCGATGGAGCTTTGGCCAAGCTCGCATTTATCGGGGTTGACGGTAACCCCATGCTGTGTTAAGCGTTGGAAGAGAGCGTCGAGGTGACGAAGATGCTCCTCGTCAGAAGAGCTGGCGATGAGAATGTCATCTAGATAAGGATAAACGCCTTCGAGTCCTCGCGTTACCTCATGAATGAAACGCTGAAAAGTTTGGGCAGCGTTGCTGAGGCCGAAAGGCATTCTGAGGTACTCGAATAGGCCGAATGGCGTGATGACTGCTGTTTTAGCAATGTCGTCTGGCGCCACAGGTATCTGATGGTAGGCGCGAACTAAGTCGACTTTGCTGAAGATAGACTTGCCAGCTAGAGCTGAGGTCAAGTCGTGCATGTGCGGGATAGGGTATTTATCCGGGACGGTAACTTTGTTAAGTGCCCTGTAGTCACCACAAGGGGCGCCAGTCACCGGATTTCTTCGGCACCATGTGTAATGGTGATGCCCATGGACTTTTGGACGGGCGGATGATTCCCAGTTCGAGCATTTGCTCGAATTCCGCCTTAGCAGCTTTGAGCTTGTCCGGGGCTAATCGGCGAGGGCGGGCCGAAACAGGTGGGCCCTTAGTGCAAATGTAATGCATGACGTTCGACGTCACAGGAGGCAAGTCGTTCAGGACGCGAACGAGTTTAGGGTGCTTGCTGAAAAGTTCTAGAAAAGGCTGTGAAGCTTGAGGTAGGACACGAATGGGAGTGATAGCAGCCACGTTGGCGCTGGTCCCGATAATACTGAGCTGTGTCCTGGAGTCGATAAGCTTCTTCCTTTTAGCGTCGACGATGAGGTCGAAGCGTTGAAGAAAGTCTATGCCTATGATGGCGAAAGGCACGGCAGCGATTATGAAAGGCCAGCGAAAGGTTCGCCGGAGGCCTAAATTGAGCGTTAGCAGCTTTTCGCCGAAAGTTGCGATTGGTGTGCCATTGGCGGCACGCAGCTTGGTCGGCGATGGTGAGACGACCTCATCTGAGCTACGGGGTATGACGCTAACTTCTGCACCAGTGTCGACTAGAAACTCGGTGCCGGAAGTTAAATCCCTAACGCGGATGAGGCGACTTTGGTGTTGGCCAGTCGCGTCCGTCGCCGTTACGGACCGGCCGAGAAGTTTCCCTGCTTCTCGGCGAAGTTGCAAGGCTTTGACACATTTACGAGCTGCGGTACCAAAACGTTGATGGTACCAACAGCTAGCCTGCCTGTTGCTAGACTTAGAACGTTTGCAGGGCGATTTTGAGCGGCTAGGACGACGACGGGTCATAGTAAGCTGTTGCACCTGGCGACTAAGTGTCGCAACTTGTGTTTGCAGGGCTTCTATAGTTGACTGTAAGCCAGTGATAGAAGTGCCCTGGGACGCGACGGCATGGACCTTGCTGGCGTTGGCTTGTGGCTGTGCTCGTTCAATAACTCGATCGGCTAAGTCTGCTAGTTGAGTGAGCGAAACGGAGCTCACTGTAGCGAGAATCGCTTGCGTGTTTTCCGGTAGCCGTTGTAGCCATAGTTCGCGAAGTAAAGTCTCATCCATGGTTGAGGAACCAAGGAGTTGCTGCATCTCCCGTAGCAGGGTTGAGGGCAGTTTGTCGCCCAGCTGCAGATCCCTGAAAAGCTGCTGCAGGCGAACTTTCTCAGAGGGCATAACACGCTTAATCGTGGCCTCCTTGAGAGCCTCATAGCGGTTTTCGGTCTGAGAAATGATGACGTCACGAACCTGCATTGATATCTCCTTGGGGAGATAGGACAGGAGCTTGCAGTACTTCGCATAGTCGGAAGTGATTCTGTGGTTATAAAACTCGGCCTCAAGATGAGCGAACCACAAAACAGGATCCATGTCCCAAAAAGGTGGCACAGAGAGAGTTACAGCGCTTAGTAGAGACTCTACCTTATGGTCTACAGATTCCATGGCTTAAAAAATGATGCAAAAATAGGCTACCGTATGCAAAAATAAAACCGGAAAATATGAAAAATAAATGGAACGAGCTCACCGGAGAAAAGTTCGAAATATCCGGCGTTGAGATTGTTCCGGATCCGGGGTCACCAATTTAGAGGGTTGCCTATTCCGGGAGCCCAGAGAGCGATTCCAGAAGACAGATCGAGTTGCAGGGAAACTTTTATTGGTTCAGCAAAAGATTCCCTGTTAGCTAGCTATAAACGAACGACACCGTGGACGCTCTAGCTAGGGAAACGGAGCAAGACACAGCACACAGAGCAGTCGCGCGTTGCAACCGAAGCGAGCGCCAAGCAAAAATGGCGATGAGCAAGTAAAGCATTCGAACTCAGCAATCAGTTCAACAAACCACACCGGTTGCCTAAGTGTACAATTATAGAATTTTGGTTAGAATTTTACACAAGCAAACCGGGGAATCTCCAGACTGCTACACCACTTATCTCAATCCTAGCGCGCCGTTATTCGCCGTTCTTCTTAGTCGCGTCAATCTTCTTGGCAGTAGCTAGTCATTGTTGGCCCCATGTAACCTGCTAAGAGCCACTTATTGACTCTACAGCTTTCATTTTCCTCTGACGTCTGTCTCCTTATTCGGCGCTCGTCTGTTGACATATTCATTGAAACTGTAGTTATCCAGTAGTGGTCAAACTTCTTAATCATATGGCTACTCCAGCCTCTGATACCTACTTTTCGAGAGCCACTATATCCGCTTAGCAGCAGCTAGCCTGTAGCGACCTGGAGATTCCCCCGTATGACTGTGTAAACTATTCTAAAATACATTCAAATTATAGCTTTCTTATGTATTAGGGAATTAGGCAGTTTGCCTGTTGAAACCTTGTTCCCGTTTGTTGAAAACACGAACGCTATCTCCGCCTTTGGCGCGCGCGACTCGATTGCGAACGACGCTCTGTCAACGCACTCGACGCCATCGACATTCTCCCTAGCTAGCTCTCTCCGGGTGCCCTATTTTTAGCATTAGCTAACGCTCCTCCCGTCCAATAAACTTTTCCCTAGCTTACTGTTGTGTCTTCTATCCATTATTTTTGGTTGGCCGTCTAGTCGCGTACCGGATATATAGCGCACGATCAACGCGCTATAATTGGTGACCCCGAAAAAAAACTATTTTTGGTGAGTTCGGTACTAATATTTTTTTTCAGATCCGGTTATTTATTCTGTCTACCTTTCTACTTTTTCTCTTTACTATTTGTGTTCACATTCACACGCTCCGGAATTATTTCACCATGAAGGTCATTCGCCCAGATTCTGACGATCAGGTTTGTGGGTTCCGTTTCCCTCTCCCGCCTTTCCGAGAGACTAACCCTAAGGCCTGGTTTAACCAGCTAGAGTCCATTTTTTCGTTACATGGCGTTAACTCTGACAGCGTCAAATTTCACTGCGTTGTCGCCGCGCTTCCCCCGCAAGTCGTCGATGACCTCGACGACATCTTGGAACTTCCGGAACATCAGAAAAGTTACGATGAGCTTAAGGCCGTCGTCTTAAAGCGATTTGGCATATCAGACCATGCTCGCGTCACGCAGCTTCTTAATGAAACCGAGCTAGGGGATCGAAAGCCTTCGCAGTTGCTGCACAAGATGCAAGCTCTAGCTAAGCCTCTCGCTGTTGGCGACTCTTTCCTTAAAGAGATGTGGCTTCGTTGCCTGCCACGTGACATGCGCAATCCCTTGTATGCAAACGATGCGCCTCTTCCTCAGCTCGCCGATATTGCCGACCGTATTTGGGAATCCAACGCCCAAATATCTCAGGTTCAGTCTACCTCCAGTACAGAGGTAGCAGAACTAAGAGCGCAAGTATCCGCATTGACCAACCGACTAGAGAAGCTAACACAATCCGGATCCAACCGCCGAAATCGTCCCAGTAGTCGCAGTCCTCCTAGATCACGTTCGAAATCTCCCCCTAGGTCAAGCTATTGCTGGTACCACGAGCGATTTGGTCATCAGGCCAGATCGTGTCGCCCACCTTGTTCTTTCAAGCGCAACATGCAGGGAAACGGGTAGGCCAGCACGTAGGGGCGACGGACGTTGCTGGCTGCCCCAGTCGCCTTTTCTTTGTCACCGATCGCAGTACGGGAGTACGCTATCTCGTTGACACCGGCGCAGAAGTCAGCGTTATCCCACGTGATTCTAATGACGTTATCGAAGAGGCGACCGGTTCTTTGCGCGCTGCAAACGGCACCACCATTCGCGTGTATGGTCAACGCTCGCGCACGCTTAATCTAAACCTACGACGTTCATTTAAATGGATCTTCCTCGTCGCAGATGTCCAGACGCCAATTCTTGGCCTTGACTTTCTGCAGCACTTCGATTTACTTGTTGACGCGAAGCAACGCCGTCTGATCGACCGTCAAACAAACCTGGCAGTTATAGGTACTTTGACCGACATAGAGTCAATCAGTCCTGTATACGCCAACCTGTCAAGCTCGCCTATCGGTCAGATGCTTAATACGAAATTCCCGCAAGTCTTTCGTGCAACGACACCGTTTTCATCCGCCACTGACGTCGCGAAACATTATATCGTCACGAAAGGTCCGCCTGTTTTTGCCAAAGCCAGGCGAATGACCCCTGATAAGTTAAAAATTGCTCGCGCAGAATTCGAGCACATGCTTGAACTAGGCATCGTTCGCCCGTCTAACAGTCCCTGGGCGTCGCCGCTCCACATGGTGCCCAAGAAGTCAGGAGACTGGCGTCCATGTGGTGACTACCGCGCGCTCAATAACGTTACTGTTCCCGACCGATATCCGATTCCTCACATTCAGGACATCACGGCAAGCCTGCGCGGCACCCGTGTGTTCTCAAAAATCGATCTGGTTCGCGCATATCACCAGATTCCAGTCGCTGAGGAAGACATACCGAAGACTGCCGTAATCACGCCTTTTGGGCTGTTCGAATTTTTGCGTATGCCGTTCGGTCTTCGCAACGCAGCCCAGACTTTTCAACGACTCATCGATTCAGTCACTAGAGGTCTAAATTTCGTCTATGCATACATCGACGATATCCTAGTTGCCAGCGCCTCTGAAGAACAGCACGCAGAACATCCCAAAATACTTTTCGATAGGCTGGCCGCTAATAGCATCACTGTCAACCCCGACAAATGCGTATTTCAGCAGCCTTCCATCGAATTCCTTGGCCACCATATTGATCAGTATGGCATACGGCCTCTAGACGATAGAGTCCGCGCCATCAGAGACTTTCCGGTTCCGACTACGTTAGCCGCTATTCGCCGTTTTAACGGCATGCTCAACTACTATCGACGTTTTCTTCCACACTGTGCCAATTTGCTAAGTCCACTAACCGACCTACTTCGTGGACGCAAAAACGGCCAGGTAGAATTGACTGCTGCTGCTGCCGAAGCGTTCAAGGCCAGCAAAGAAGCCTTAGCTAAAGCCGTTATGCTTCATCACTTCGATCCGAATGCTCCGCTCAGTGTTGCTGTTGACGCATCAGACACCGCCATTGGCGCCGTCCTACAGCAACATACAAATGGGAGCTGGAAACCTCTTGCATTCTACTCTAGACGCCTACAACCCGCCGAAGTCAAGTACAGCACGTTCAGTCGCGAACTGCTAGCCGTTTACTCTACAGTTCGACATTTCCGACACGTCCTCGAAGGTAACACCTTCATTATCTTCACCGATCACAAGCCGCTTACCTACGCATTCCGAAATCACTCAGCTCGACACTCACCACGTGAGATTCGTCAGCTGGATGTCATTGCTCATTTCTCGACGGATATCCGACACATTTCTGGCCAACAAAACGTCGTCGCTGATGCTCTTTCAAGACTATCTGCGATTGGTCCTGCCGGGCAGGCAATCGATTTGTCTGCTATGGCCGCCGCGCAATCAAACGACCAAACATTTTCGAAACTCCGCGATTCTTCTTTGAAGATATCCCCGCACCCTCTGCCGTCATCTGATGGTACCATTTTATGCGACACATCTACCGGACGACCTCGACCCGTCGTTCCAGAAACTTTTCGCCGTATCGTTTTCGACACCCTCCACAATATTGCCCACCCAGGCATTAAAGCTACTGCTAAGCTTGTCTCTGATAGATACGTTTGGCCGGGGATGCAACGCGATCTTACACGTTGGGCACGCAGCTGTCTCAGCTGCCAGCAAGCCAAGATTCAGCGGCACGTGTCCGCTCCGCTTGGTCGCTTTCCGCCTGTTTCAGCGCGATTTGCCCATGTCCATCTCGACATAGTGGGACCTCTGGCCCCGTCCAAAGGAATGGTCTACATCTTGATCATGATCGATCGTTGCACCCGTTGGCCCGAAGCCGTTCCCATCCCTGCCGTCGCTGCGGAAACCGTAACACGCGCTTTTGTCGAGCGCTGGGTCGCTTCACACGGCTGTCCAGCTACAGTGACTACAGACCGCGGTCCGCAATTCGAATCGACGACCTTTAACGATCTCCTTAAACTCATTGGATGCCAACGCATTCGCACGACCGCCTATCATCCGCAAGCGAACGGCATGGTGGGACGGTCACGGTAAACGTGAAGCCGTTACAATTGACCGTCTCAAGGTTGCCCACGTGGAACCTGAGCTCAACGAAGACCCTTGTTCGTCTTCTTACGAATCAACGCAGCCTATGATGGAAGACTCGACTGCTTCCAACATCCCTGACCCCAAGTATCACGCTCCATCCAAGCCTTCTACTTCAGCTCCACCGCTTCCCATCGAACCAACTGCCACGTCTTCAGCAGTTCCTCCAATTTTGCGATCCGATAGGGCATCTAAGACCACGCCTTCCTCTGACTCGAACAAGTCGACTAGGTCGGGTAGACGCGTTCATTGGCCAGCTCGATTAAGGGATTAGCGTTCCTTTCACTTTTCTTATTGCTTTTCTTTTCCCTTTTGGCCAACAACATACGAACCCCTCCAAAACTTTTGAAAACGACAAAAAAACCGACAAAAGTTTTTTTTTTGAAAACCCAAAAGGAACGCAAAATGTTTTGAAAACCCAAAAAAAGAACAAAACGTTTTGAAAACACAAAAAGAGCTGCGTTTTGGCTGACGCCTACCTCATCCGGTAAGTGTCACTTTTGCTTTTGCCCTCGCCCCCACCGTCACTGCTCTTGTTTCCGTTTATCTTCCATGTATGAACCGGAAGAGATGCCGAGGCTGATGCGAACACTTGACCTTCACGAACTCGCGAACATTTAACGCTTACGCACTTCCCCCATTTTGTGTTTTTGGCAACGTTAGGGAGGACACGGGTGGGAGCCCGCTAGGGTCCGATCGCCTGGTTCTCCCCCAGCAGCTGCATCAGGTTTCACTACCTGGTCTCGCAGAAGGCTGGCCCGCGACGGACAGTCCCCACGTAGATCGAAGGGTCACCCACGGTTTCCCTTCTAGGAGGGGGGCTGTGTAGCGACCTGGAGATTCCCCCGTATGACTGTGTAAACTATTATAAAATACATTCAAATTATAGCTTTCTTATGTATTAGGGAATTAGGCAGTTTGCCTGTTGAAACCTTGTTCCCGTTTGTTGAAAACACGAACGCTATCTCCGCCTTTGGCGCGCGCGACTCGATTGCGAACGACGCTCTGTCAACGCACTCGACGCCATCGACATTCTCCCTAGCTAGCTCTCTCCGGGTGCCCTATTTTTAGCATTAGCTAACGCTCCTCCCGTCCAATAAACTTTTCCCTAGCTTACTGTTGTGTCTTCTATCCATTATTTTTGGTTGGCCGTCTAGTCGCGTACCGGATATATAGCGCACGATCAACGCGCTATAAGCCGCCATAGCCTCAATCCAACTTTACTGATACATGGAGCTCCCTAGGAGCTGCTCATTTCTTACAATGTTCATTCTCTTGGAATGTTTGTGTCACAGCTCAGCTGTTTTTTGACCTATTCTGTGCCACCGTAGGATCCACTACTACCTGAAGCCTTAGTGTGAATTCGATGGCTGGCCACGTATCTAACTCCTAGCGCGCCGTTATGCGCCGTTCTTTTTAGTCGTGTCACTCTTCTTGGCAGTAGCTAAACATTGTTGGCCCCATGTAACTTGCAAAGAGCAACTATTTGACACTCCAGCATTCATTTTCCTCTGACGACTGTCTCCTTATTCGGCGCTCGTCCGTTGACATATTCATTGAAACTGTGGTTATACAGTAGCGGTCAAGCTTCCTAATCATATGGCTACTTCAGCCTATGATACCTAATTTTCCAGAGCCACTACCTCTGCTTAGCAGCAGCTAGTCGCCATAGCCTCAATTCAAATATGTTGATACCCGGAGCTCTCTAGGAGTTGCTTATTTCTTACAATGTTCATTCTCTTGGAATGCTTGTCGCAGCTCAGCTGTTTTTTGACCTATCCTGTGCCACCGTAGGATCCACTAGTACCTGAAGCAGTAATCTGAATTTTATGCCTGGCCACTAATCTCACCCCTTGCGCGCTGTTATGCGTCGTTCTCCTTAGTCGCGTCAATCTTCTTGACAGTAGCTTGTCATTGTTGGCACCATGTATCTTGCGAAGGGCAACTATTTGACACTCCAGCTTTCATTTTCCTCTGACGTCTGTCTCCTTATTCGGCGCTCGTCTGTTGACATATTCATTGAAACTGTAGGTGTCCAGTAGTGGTCAAACTTCTTAATCATATGGCTACTCCAGCCCATGATACCTACTTTTCTGGAGCCACTATCGCTGTTTATAGCAGCTAGTCGCCATAGCCTTAATCCAACTTTGCTGATATTCGGAGCTCCCTAGGAGCTGCTCATTTCTTACAATGTTCATTCTCTTGGAATGTTTGTGTCACAGGTCAGCTGTTTTTTGACCTATCCTGTGCCACCGTAAGATCCACTATTACCTGAAGCAGTAATCTGAATTTTATGCCTGGCCACTTATCTCACCCCTTGCGCGCCGTTGTGCGTCGTTCTCCTTAGTCGCGTCACTCTTCTTGACAGTAGCTAGTCATTGTTGGCCCCATGTAACCTGCAAAGAGCAACTATTTGACACTCCAGCTTTCATTTTCCTCTGACGTCTGTCTCTTTATTCGGCGCTCGTCTGTTGACATATTCATTGAAACTGTAAATATTTAGTAGTGTTCAAACTTCTTAATCATATGGCTACACCAGCCTCTGATACATGCTTTTCTAGAACCACTAACTAGCTAGTCGCCATAGCTTCCATTTAACTTTGCGGACACCCGGAGCTCGCTCCGTTCTCACCATGTTTATTTCTTTGGTTGTTTGC